TTAAATTCGAAATTTGACATTATAGTGTTAACTGAAACTTGGCTTTGTGAAAGTATATTAAATAACTAAATTATAGATAAACGATACGTGGTTTTTCGACGTGACAGAATATTTACAGAGTATTTTGCGTACCAAGCATGACGGTGGTGGCGTACTTATTGCAGTTTCAAAAAAAAAACTTAAAAGTTATAGAGTTATGGAATGGGAAAGCGACTACGAGGATATGTGGATTAACATTGATTTTAAAGCAGGTAACCCAAATTTTACTCTATCGATTTGCGGTGTTTACTTGCCGTCACCATTAAATTATGATTGTCTTAAAAGCTTCTGTGATAATGTTTCCCGTGTATAGTTGAGCAACTTAATACAATATTAATAGGAGATTTTAATTTATCCAATATAATGTGGACTGAACAAACTAGTCAAAAATATCTTATTCCTGTTAGTAATAGTGGCAAGATGATCGAATATTTTATAGATTTCATAGCTGAAAATCGTCTTTACCAGTTTAATCAAGTCCGAAATCCTTTAAAAAAAAACTCTTGACCTAATATTAAGTAATAAAGAAAGTACATTTATAATCAACGAAGTTAAAGCAAGCCCCAATCCCTTAAGCCATATAGACAGAAACCATATAGGGACCCACCCCTAGAAATCAGTATAAATTTTACTCCAGTTTCACACCTAGAAACAAACATGAACGAAAGAATGAATTTTTATAATGCAGATATTGGAATGAAATTTTTATTACATGGGATGTTGATGTAATGCTAAAAGTCTTTTATTGCAAGCTCCGCGAGATTATAGGTCGGCATATTAGGAAATAGTAAAAATCCGCGTTGGTTTTCACTTAATAAAAGGATTAAAAGAAAAAAAATACAGAAACTTATATAGTAAGTATAAGAACCCTCTTGATGAAAAATCGTTTAAATTACTGCGTAAAAGATGTAAAACCTTAATACACTCATGCTATAAAAATGTAGACGAAAATATAATTAGTAATCCAAAATATTTTTGGTCATATTTAAAAGAGACTAGAAATAATAAGAGTCAAACAAATCACAATGCTTTACTCATATCCAAAAAAAAAAACAGCTGCCACCGGTACACCGTCATTGACTCATACTGTAATAAGCTTAACGAGTTGGAAGGTCAATAATTATGGATTTATTTTTTACAAAACCATTTTGTGCGTTATTAAGTTAAGTAAGTTAATGTTAAGTGTTTGCATAAAATTATTGTCTCTTAAGTATTGCTTTTTCAAAAACTTTTGATAAAATGGGCACCATTGCAACAGATCTGTAATTACTAATATCTTTTTTAAGATGGGTTTTAAAACTGAATACTTGAGATCTGCAGGAAAAATTCCTTGGGTAAAAGATAAGTTTATGATATGACTAAGTATTTGTGCTATATTCAAAGAACTTAGTTTTATTATTTTTGTCGGTTACTCATTATAGCCAACCGAATTGGTGTTTCGAAGAGATAATATAATTTGATTAACTTCATCAGGAATCGTCGTCGGTCGTAAGAATATAGTAGAGTGATGGGATTGTTTACACATACAATTATTCGACATATTTGGTTTGCCTTTATTTGTCGAATCTATAATAATATTATTAAACCCATTTGCAGTGTCATATCCTTCTACCGGGGTTCTTCCATTGTAATTTATGGTGTCTATTTCTTTATTAGATAGTATATTAGTTATATTTGTTCTTATGCCATTCCATATAGCTTTACCTTTATTATTAGAGGCTAATAATATATATTTATCATTTTGAATTTTTTGTGCCTTTAAAATACATTTCCTAAAAATTTTAGCATAACTTATATATCTAGATTTATTTAAATTTTTATTTGCCGCTGTAAGCAGATATTTACAATATAGCTTTCTTTTTTACTACGCAAGAATTTTTTATACCTCTTGAAAGCCAATAATTTTTATTATTCCTTAACAAATTCTTAATTAATTTGGTTGGGAAACACAGGTCGAAGAACAGTTTGTAAATATTATAAAAGCTTGAAAATACTTTGTTGGTGTCTTGTTCAGTATAGATTACAGAAAAAGATATTGATTGTATACATTCCAAGAACTTTTCTATATTATCTTTCGCAAAGTCCCTTTTTTCTTCAAACCTTTATTTTATTGTTATACTGATTTTCATAGGAATCTACAATACTTGTCCCGTGTGATCAAAGAGGCCGAAATAATGTATAGAACCTTTTGCTTTTGTAACATTGCTTATAAAGTGATCAATAAATGAATTAATTCTGGTTGGGGAGGTTATGTGGTGAGTAAAGTTAAAATTTAGTAATAAATCTTTAAGCTTCTTAGAGTAATTACTAACCTTTATAGTGTCTATGTACCAGAAATGAGCATATCCGCAGTAAAACCAGAGTGACCGACATAGCGTAACGGCTCTACCACGTAAAAATTTGTATAAGTAAGCATGGCTCTACCACGTAAATTTTTTCTTACAATTAAGGGTCACTTAAATAAAATTCATCGCATACATATTTCATCATCATCATTAAAGCCCTTCACAAGTCCTCTGCTGAACATAGGCCTCCCCCAAGGCATGACACAAAGAACGGCCTTGGGCTTTCTGCATCCATCAACTTCCTGTATGCCTTACCACGTCATCATTCCGTCAAGTGGGAAGTCGCCATAATTAATGCCTACCGGAACGAAACACTGCAAATCGATAGAGTAAAATTTGGGTTACCTGCTTTAAAATCAATGTTAATCCACATATCCTCTTAGTTGCTTTCCCTTTTCATAACTCTATAACTATTAAGTTTTTTTTTGAAACTGCAATAAGTACGCCACCACCGTCATGCTTGGTACGCAAAATAGAAGATTTTCTGTCCCGTCGAAAAACCATGTATCGTTTATCTATAATTTCGTTATTTAATATACTTTCACATAGCTAAGTTTCAGTTAACACAATAATGTCAAATTCCGAATTTAAAATAGCACTATATACCTCATAAGTTTTGGTTTTAAGACCTCTAATGTTTTGATAAAAGACACTAATACAGTTCATCAATTAAACAAAAGTGTAACTGAGTTAAAAATATATTATATGTTTTAAATTTCTAAAAAAATTATAAATGGTATGGTTTAAGAAATTTCGTTAACACTCCATTACGCGCGCCCCTGTTTGGGACGCGAGTGCTCGCGCGCTCTACATATGTAGAACTATTTTATGTAAAGATTTTAGAGGAACAATAAACAAATATAAAAATACTTTAATATCATATTAAAACAAACTTTAATAAGAAACTAAAATAGACGAAACATAACTGTTACCATTTATTAGGCACTTAATATCAGACTTCTTGTGAATTTTGAGAAAAATCAATTATTTTTTGGCATCAAACCTTCTCAGTCTCCTTTTTTTACTCGCTCATATCTTCCACACGGTCTTTATCATTTTTACAACAGTCAAGGCATTGAAGAACTTGATGTTAAGGACGAATCCACTTTTTACAAGTGTCACATTGTTTTCTAGTGGACTTATTGCGCGCTCTGCCACAAAAGGAACATTTCCCGACTCGACCAGTATTGGGGAGTTGTGCTGGGCATGGTTGTAATTCCAATGGCTCTTTCATGCCTAAACGCATTTTCCCTTTCCTTTTTAATGATTTTGGAATACTTTCAATATTTATTCTGCGTTGTATGCATGGCGCGACTAGGTGAAAACCAAGTTCATATAAAAAATCCTTCCTGGCCTTATTTCTGTAGTCCTTGTTTATTGTATGTACAATATAATCGTTTATAGCACTTATATTCATTAAATTGAAAAAAATAGTAAGTGAGACGTCATATTTATGACGTCTCACTTACTATTTTGGCGTGGACATTATTTGTAGTATTTACTACAAATAATGTCCACGCCATATTTGGTATTGTTGTAAAAAGTTATTATTTCCGGCTTACGTTTGTCTGCTGTTTGTAAATCTATATTATCATCATAGTGCATAGGTGAGTAAATAAGCACCACTTTCTTTGATTTTTGGCATGTAAGATACTAAAGTACCTTGTTTTTGAAAGCCAAAAATTGAACTCGTTTCGCTTCTGTTTCTTGTGATTTTGAATTCTTTGGGAATTTGTGGCTTATTTTTCTTCACAGTGCCTACGACAGTAATTTTGCTACCTAAGAGTTCTAAGCATTGAGGTATATTCGTGAATCAATTGTGCATTGTGACGTTATAACCTAAACCATCCAATGGGGTAAGCATTCGTTGCACAATGTCCACAACTTTATTTGATTGTGCATAAGGACCATCTGGCTGAGCACCTGCGTATATTTCCATATAGTAGGTAAAAGGTACCTTTGTATCCGTTAGTAAAAATATATGTAACCCATACTTTGCTGGTTGCTTCATCAGTAATAACTTCTTCCAACCATCTCAAAATATGTGCCATCATTGTGCGAAATATAGTTACTACGGTTTAAAATAATATTATCAAACAAAAAAATTCATAATAACAATATTTATACATAATATAAACATTTACATAAAATAAAAACGATAAGTAAACTTCCGACAAAAATGACACGCGAGTGCTCGCGCGCTCTACTATTGTAGAATATTAGTTTTGGTGCGAAATTTCTAACAAGTGCGATCGCGCAGTTTGCCGAAAGGGTACTAATTGTGATCACCAGCTAGTAATAGAAGAATACTAAGAGTGTGTGCGTTAGACACCCACCATTAATGTTAAAATCCCACGAAATGCATGCCTGTTCTACTATTGTATATAGAACGCGCGACTAATGGAGTGTTAAGGAACTCCAAGTTCTTAACAAGAATTACCTCACTGGACGGCGCTTTTCTTAAGTAGATGTTACCATTCCGCGACCAGACGAATTTATACGATTTCTCTTTGGCAAATCGACGAGCAGCTGCGTGTAATGCCTTGGCTTCCGGGGTAAGATGTTCACACACGAAGACAGGCATTTTTTCACCTACTATTCTCAAATGTGGAGAGTTCAGTTTATCAGACGGATGGGTTTAATGTAATTTATTACATTAGCAAAGAATTTATCTCTCAATAGGGGTGTTGCAAACTTCGCCAAAACAGTTCGTGGACGATTGTTCTCCTTATTCCACTTCGCAATCCGGGTGCATTTAACTATATGACCATCTACTACATAGCTACATATAGTTTTTCCTATTTGTTGTAAATTGTTGACTAAGTTTTCACCACGGTTTTCTGGTATGCAATGAAATTCTAAATTATTTACTCTTGTTTCTTTTTCCATAATAGTTAATCTGGAATTTATTTTTATTTGATTTTCGCGAAGCTTAGTATTTTCATTTTTGAGGGACGATATTTCCTGCATAGCCTCCTCTAATTTTTTTTGTTGCTTAGCGTACATAGATTGTAATATATCCATTTTTATATAGAAATTTAATAAAGATAGAAGTTTAAGAGAAAAATCTAATAACAGAATAAAATTTCCAAAATGTAAATTGAAGCTTTTCCAAAAAAATTCATATATAATGGTGATTAAAATCTTCAACTCTTTACCCGACGAGTTTAAAAATTTCCCAATGACAAAGTTAAAAAACCAACTTCATTAATGGCTTTTACTTAATTGTTTCTATACTGTTAATGAGTATCTTGATCACAAAAATCAAAACAAATTACATATTTAAAAATCTGTATCCAAAAATGCTTGAATTTTTTTTGCTGTGAATTTATAAAGGACTTCGATAGTTATAGAATAATTATTAGTTACTTAATTTTACTGTTTTTACATATGAACATTTGGATATTTATAAATAATTTAAATTCATCAAAAAAAGTTGTTATATCTAATTAGTCGAAATTTGCACGCCTCGACAGGGAGAATGTATGGGAACTTTCATGTTTTAATAATACTCTTGTAATACCCACCTACATTCTATGCAATAAAATAATTATGAATTATGAATTATAACTTCGTATTGGATAAAACTTCTGAGTCTATCACGCAGAGAAACTCCGAGCACAGCCCTATCCATAGCTCAATGAGCGACCTTGAGCATCCTCTTACGGCCAGCAGTAAAGGATCCGTAAATCATCACTGGCAACACGCACTGGTTGTACAATCTAGTTTTCAAAGTTTTAGGTATACCTGACGAGAAGACGTGTCGTAATTACCCGAACGCTGCCCAGCCAAGTTTAATCCGTCGATTGACTTCTCGCTCGATATTGGACTTACCTAGTCAGACTATTTGTCCTAAGTAAACGTACTCATCAACTACTTCGAACCTAGTGCTCCTAACTACTGGTATAGGTGTGACATGGACATTAAACATGATCTTTGTTTTGTCCATGTTCATTTTAAGTTCTATCCGTTGGGAGACACCATTGATGTCATTGAGCATAGAACTTAGGTCCTCCAGCGATTCTGCCATAAGGACTATATCGTCGGCAAATCAAAGGTGAGTGATGTACTCGCCATTGGTGTTAATACCGTATCCTTTCCAGTCCAGTAGCTTAAAAACGTCTTCCAATGCAGCGGTGAAGAGTTTCGGGGAAATAACGTCACCCTGTCTTACACCTCTCTGCAGTTGGATAGGTTTCTTACTCTGGTTCTGTACTCGGATAGCCATCGTAGCCCTATTGTACAAACACTTCAGCACTTCGATATACCGACATTCAACTTGGCACCGCTGAAGAGACTGTAGCACCGCCCAAATTTCGACGGAATCAAAAACTTTCTCATAGTCCACATACGCCAGGCAAAGTGGCAGATTGTACTGTTCGGACTTCTGTACAATTTGCCGAAGGGTATGTATGTGGTCTACAGTACTAAAGCCTTTTCGGAAACCGGCTTGTCTTCCAATGTAGTGGTGAAGAGTTTCGGGGATATAACGTCACCCTGTCTTTCACCTCTCTGCGTTTGGATAGGTTTCGAACTCTGGTTATGTACTTAGAGAGCCATCGTAGCCCTACTGTACACAGACTTCAGCACTCCGATATAAAACATATATACACAGAGGTATTTTTTGCGAATCAGTGGTAACAAAAAAGTGACTTTCAATAAGTATTATTTATAATTCATGTTGAATAAAAAAGATTCTGTTTCTGTTTATTTCATATTAATTTAAATAACATTAAATATAAAATGATAACGATATACTTTATTATGGAATAAGGGTTACAAATGAGCACACAGATCGCCCTCTCGTCAGTGGAAGTTGCGGATTACAGACATCCACATCTATCCCCACTTAAGATTTAAAATGCAGAAGCGTATTCACCCTTAAGGAATAAGACGGAATGGCTCGTTTCCAGTAAAAGGAGTCTCCATTGCTCTGCACTCATCATACGAAACACAGCAATGCTGCTATTTCACGTTAGTACTGGTGGCCGTATGAGGACGCTCAAGGTTGCTCAGCGAGCTATGGAGAGGGCTATGCTCGGAGTTTCTCTGTGTGATAGACTCAGAAATGAGCATATCCGCAGTAAAACCAGAGGTACCGACATAACCCAACGGATTAGTAAGCTGAAGTGGCAATGGGCCGGACATATAGCTCGAAGAACTGATAACCCGATGGGAAAGAAATGTTCTCGAGTAGCAGTAGAGTAGGGCTACTCCCCGCTAGATGGAGTGACGATCTAGTAAGACATGCAGGAAGTCGGTGGATGTAGGTGGCTCAGGACCGTGCTTTGTGGGTAGGCCTATGTTCAGCAGTGAACTTGTGAAGGGTTGTAATGATGATGATGATGATAATTTTATTACGATCGTCCTATTTCCCCTGTAAAGTCAACACATTTGGGTCTACTACCAACATTATAATTTTACAACGGATAATCGGATTGGAAGCATTTTTTAGAATCCTAGGTCAAACAATTTTCACTTTACTTTAATGGATGTTGTCTTTAAAAACATCTAGTACTTAAAGGATCCATATAATATATTATTTGAATTCAAACGATTAAAAAGATCACGTACTAAGTGATGTCATTAGTTCCCCAAATTTAAGTTAACTAAGTTGTTGCATTTACATCTCCTTACACGCATTAAGCTTTATGTGTCACAAACTTCGAAAGTCATCGTTACGATCGAATCGGCGAAAATGAGGCAATTTAAGCAAAATGGCTGGCAACCTGGAGCTGAGTGACGTAATACTCACCATGTTTTAGAATGAAGGGAAATTTTGTTCGCGAAATAAACAGCAATTAAATATACACCACACACAGTACACAGTAATTATTGGTAGATTTTTTATAAAATCTGGAGTGGAATACAAGTGGTATACAAATAGGATTTAGAGCCAACTTGATGAAATGCCTCATAATCATCATCATCATTACAGCCCTTCACAAGTTCACTGGCCTTCTTTAAGCAATGTCACAAAGAACGGTCCTAAGCCACCTGCATCCATCGACTCGAGGTCGTTACTCCATCCAGTAGGGGTCACCTTAAACTTCGCCTATCGGTACCAGGCTGCCATTCAAGAACATTTTTTCCCCAACAGTTGTCGGTTATTATATGGCCGGCTATATATTGAGCTATATATAAATACGAAACAATATAATAAAATTTATAAATACGAAATTGCGTTATCTTCTGTCAAAAAAATAAATAGACTTAATTTTTTTATAAAAAACCTAAAGTTATTCCTTTTTACCGTAGCGAAATGATAACAATATTTTCCTATGTCATTTTGAGAAACACGTACAAGATTTAGAAAATCTGACTAGCCTAAAGGGATACAATATCATTTAGGTTCACTTGTCTTGTACGAGTATTGTATTATAATATATTTCTTACGTGAATATTATTATAAAGAGTGTGCTATCAATAATCTAGCTCTTTTATGATTAGAGTACATATAATACACTAGGATTAAAAAATTAATGAACACAATAGTGGCTCCAATGAAATTGTAAATTGCAATTTAAAGTGCTTATATGATATGCTTATATGGCGGAAAATAAATAAGTTTGTGTTTTTTACCGTCTTGGAAAGTAAAGTTTCACCCGAAAAAATCAAAGACATGTGAAATCCGCCACCCAGAATTGGGACAGTGCATTCGACCATTGGCTGCTACAAAATTAGAGTCAGAAATGAAAGCAGGCACGTGCACAACAATCAGACGTTTATTGGCTGTCACTTTTCACATTTCAAAGTAAATTCTACATCCTCTTTAACTACTCCTGGTAAGCTAAAAGTGCTTGTGTTAGAAGTAGTTCACGACATTAGTCAAATGGCGGATTCGAATCTCCGATCCTTTAAGTTCGCGGTCCGTACCCTGTCATTAGACTACGGTTACTTTCATTGAATCGAGATATGGGAACTAACATCTTGATAACAACTCAAAATAATGAAAACTGCGTTTATCAACCCCAGATGTTAAAATTTATAGACAAAACAGTACATAACGAAACTGAAAATCTAAATTTTTTTACTCCAGCATGACATGTTACCCATTTACTCGTATTTATTAAACGTCAGATTAAAAATTGCTTTCTCGTTTGGAAGCGAGACATTAACTTATTCTGTGTACCATTTCGTTACGTTACGCTCGAGAAGTTTAAATATATTTTTATTTTTACCTCGGTACTTTAGGAGTTATTTAAGCTGTTCAGTAATGTGTACAGTACCATAATTTTTTTAATTTTATTTCAATGTAACTGTAATCAATTGATATAGAAATTAACTAACTGTTAAACGAATATTCGTTGTTACCCTCTTTATTGGTAAAACTTGATAGTGGTCGTAAATTGATTATTCATCATCTGTCGTAATTTTCGACCAAATTGGCGATATACCAAAAATGGGCCAAATTAAGAGTACCCTTAACCGACGAGCATGTATGCGTAGGTATATGGATATGGAAGAGGCGAGAGAGGTATGTCAGGATCGTGCTAAATGGAAGTCTGTAGTCTTTGCCTACCTCTACAGGTGACAGGTGTGAGTGTTTTTTTATATATAACTTAGTTATGACGTTACATTACGGCCACGTCTTTAATCTCTTTTAAAAAAGGCAAAAAGCAAATTAACGGAAGTAGAAGTCGACTACGACGATGTCGCACTTGCGGCCATATTACCACTGACGGTCACGTCCCGCACTGTTGATGATACAGGGATTATGCAACGTAGGCATATTTGCAAACTTTAGTCTTATGCAATAAAAAATAGTAAGTAGTTCTTTTAAATGGTTAGGAGTCAATTTTAAACAGCCGTCCATTATGTCCTCTATCCCGTCCCGATGACCTCCAAGTTTTAACTCGTGGACACTTTCTCTTTGGCCGAACTCTCTGCGCTACAATCACCTGCTCTAAAATAACTCAGTAGCAATCATCTTCAACGATACGAACGCATACAATAAATTTATCATCATTTTTAGTTACTCTTGCAACGATTATCACCAATAAGACCAATTGCACATTTTTGAA